ATCAGTTAAGCAAAATGTCAATCGCTCTAGTCCAACGGTTGAAACTCACACAGGTCACGATGAAGGCGATTAAATTTTAAATCACACGATGGTTTTATGCTTAGTTTCGCTACAATATCTGACTGTCGATTAAGGGTCAAGTGTACTGTGCCGCAGTTCGCTCATTTAAGTGTGACCACTGTTGCCTTAGTAGCATAGACCATGTTTTGTGGTGTCACCACGTGGTAACGCACAAGTCACAGGTAGGTTCCCAGGCAGCAGAGGTTAGACAGTTGAAAAGGTTGTGAACCCTCATCGATTGAAATGGCTAGGACATGCGTTACATATGCCTAGCTACCGTCTGTCTCGTCGCACAATGTTGGCCGAAGTAGATTCAGGTTGGAGAAAGGCTAAGGATAGCCAGATTAAAACATGGCATCAATGCATGAAGTCTTTGACTACTCGTTTCAGCCATTTAGGTGTGGCTCAGAATCGATGTCAGTGATCCTGGTCCTATGCTAATCTTGATGTTGATAACTTTCACATAAGTGTGGTTAGTATGCAATAGTTCTTAACAAGATAATGTTTATCCTTACCATTCCGTAAACTTATCATCAACTTGTAATCAATGTTTTCTTAATACTGTAAAGTTTTCTCACATATAAAGTTATGAATAAATTAGGTTACTTGATATACATTTATGGATTTAGCAAATTGTTACATTCATAGTTTTTTTTGTTGTTGCAATATATGGACATCTTTAGATGACTCAATTATGCGTTAACAAAATTTACATTACATACAATTAGAATGTTATGTACTGAACAGAAAAATCAAAACAGAACTCATTACAAAGCGTAATATATACGAAGCGATCACTAGTGGTAATCGAAATTATCTGGTATGATAAACACTGACTGAAGTCTACCGATCAAGTTTGCAATATGATACAACACTACAGTCCACTATATTTTCATATCAGTATTGGAGAATACGTGTCAGGCCCTCGAGTGGAATCCCCATGGGAAGCCATGAGTTGGATGTCCGAGGGTGACATGGAGGAGATCGTGCGAGGAGGAAATGAGAGCTTCTGGGCTGTCGTGGAACCAGGTTTAAAAGATCTCAGAGAACAGAGTGGCACTGGAGACGTGCTACTGAAGCCCTATGTTCCATTAGGAACCCAAGGGAGTAATAATAATAATAATAATTGGAGAATACAGATTCCAATCATTAAGGGAACATAAACTTCTTCATGACTATAGATACATCATGCTGATGAATGTCAATAAGCAAACAAAAAATGTAGATTCACAGCTACGTGACGATTAATTTTTAACATCTATAGCGTAATCTTAGGCACAAAAAAAGATGAATTTCAACAGCAAAGAAGAACAGTGCTGGTAAGTTATCTATTCATGGTGTCCAGCAGATGATTTCAAGCATCTCCTGAACCTTATTCAAATACCTTACTAAATTAGGAATAAATAAATGGAAAAGTGGATTTTTGTTAGGCTTTAGTGTGACTCTGAAATTAGGCTAGCATGTTTTTAAACCTAATCCTATTCTAGTACAACATCAAAAGTTGTAGCTAGGAGTCATCCATCTGCAATGTATACACTACTGAAAAGATTGTATTTATGTAAAACATAGTATGACACGTTCTATGCAAGTAGCAAATGCACACGATTATTCTGGTCAAAAAAGTAACATGATGTATACAAAAATGATATTCGTTATGAAATTGTCACTTTTTATCAATACTGAAGGTTATCTCTAGTAAATGAATAAATTTTCATCGTGTTCACTAGTTGCTAACGAAGTTGAAGAAGTTTCACAACCGATTATTAAAGTCATATGAGAAGTAGTATTCATCATGGACTGACATCAGTTGCGGAACCATTGAAAACCTGGGAGCACTGGACAGCCCTGTTTCGTCCTAGTATGGGACTCTTCAGCAGTACGCACTCAACGACCCGACTACGGGTGGAACTCAGGACCTTCAGGTTTCACGGCGAACGCAGTTAACCATTCAGCCACTGGGTCGGTTTCCAGTGGTTCACAATTCCTAACTTCTGTCAATTCGCGACTGTCACCCAAGGTCTTCAGTTAGCATCCACTTCACTTCCTACTGGTTGACCCCACAGGTCGCGGCTTCTCATTAGAACTTCCTGACATCCATCTGCAAGCAAGTCACTAATGAGCAGAGCACTATAGAGTAATGTATTTTTGAGATGAATGGGGAATTGACAGAAGTTGGAAATTGTGAACCACTGGAAACCGACCCAGTGGCTGAATGGTTAACGCAGTTCGCCGTGAAACCTGAAGGTCCTGAGTTCCACCCCTATCAGGGTCGTTGGTGCGTACTGCTGAGGAGTGCTCATACTAGGACGAAACAGGCAGCTGTCCAATGCTCCCAGATTTTTCAATAGTTCTCCAACTAATGTCAGTCAGTCCATGATGACTACTACTTCTAAAATTAAAAATTCCCATTCATCTCAAAAGTCATACTAATTAGAAGTCAACAGTCTGGTTGTTGTCCTTCATATAACATTTCGAGTCGAAATAAACTCAACAACTAAGAGTATAGTTATGCAATAGGTGGTGAGCTATATCAGACGTTACAATAAATAATCACAGTATGACAGCAATTAGTAATTGATAAGTGGATTGGAAAACTAATCCAGAAATAGAGCAATCAAAATTTACTTAGTGCTAACTAATTACAACTAGAATTAAACTGACATGGTCCTTAGTGTGTCAAGTTTCGTTATCTCACTCACTAACGACCACCAATGCTTTTAAGGCATTTTATATTTTCTAGGCTTCTCACTATATACTTCCAAGACTTCTGTATGTTTTACTCGTTTCAATGTATCATTTCCATTAATTAGTTAGGTTGAAAAATCAAAAAGTAAGTTGAAGAACGTTGGTGCCTGACAGTTGATATCCATACATGCGTTAGGAAAGATAATAGTAATAATCTTGGGAGAAATTATAATGTTCCTTTGAAGACATATGTTTGAATCACTATCCAAAAGTATAATCTCCAATAGACTTTAGTGGATAACATACTCTGGTGTTTGGAGCGATCAGTTCTAAGTTCGAGTCTTAATGGGAACAATATCATTTAATGGCAGGCAGATACGACGTTCAGCTGATGAATCCCAAATAGGATTCAACTGATAGCCACTATCTATCACTACTTCCATATATGAAACATACTAAAATGTTATTGAGTATTATTACTTGCTGGTAAGATATCGCACTTGGTGAAACGCATTACAATACCATCAGCGGTTATAAAAAAGGGATATAATTCTGTTATGATTGCAAAACTGTTATGGTCGCTAACGACGCATGGATATCGACTGTCAGCAACCAACATTTAACAAATTCCTAGTCGATTCCTCACCAGACTAATTTATGAAGAAGACACGACGGATGTGTAGAAACATGAAATGGAGTAGAAAGACTATTAGTTGACTGATCCATTGTCCGTCTGTCTGACTGTAGTAGTGATACCGTATATTTTGACTGGTCCCTTTCCAGACTAGGCTTTCATCTCTATCCCTATACCAAGTACTCGATCCAGGATTTTGTAGTCTCCATGCAATACGAAAACCACAATATTATTCAATCCACATTCATTTCACAGTGTAAATGCTTCAGTAAATGTGGGACTTCCTTCAGGTGAACGTAGAGAAGACAGAGGTGATAAAGATACCCAACGAACAACAACAACAAGCACCAATCACCATCAATGGGAGAAATCTAAAGGAAGTTACCTCTTTCACCTACCACCTGGGCAGCATCGTTTCAACTACAGGCGACACAGGCACAGATGAGGACGTCAAAGCTAGGATGGGAAAGACAGCAAGACAAGACAGGCCTTCCTTCACTAGTCTGAAATCAGTGTTGCGATCTACTGCACTGCACTTCGCTGTACTGAGCATAAAGCGTGAACAACATCTGGATTTTCAACACTAAGTCAATCAAGTGAGTGCTTCTATGTGATGGTTGAGAGACTTGGGGCGTCATGAAAAGCATTTCCAATGAACTGTAGACATACATGAACATCCGGCGCCTGCGCTCACTCGATACTGAAGATCAATCAGATGGATGACTAGAATAATACGAATAAGGCAACAAGAAATTCTGAACTGACAATGAATCAACAAAGCAAGAATCCATCGGCCAACAAATATGCAGAAGTAGAAAATGGAGATAGATTGGATGGTGCATAGACTGAGAAGATCATCAGGCCCTTGAGTGGAACCCTAGTGGTAAATGATGAGTTTAGCGTTCAAAAGTGATATAGAAGAGATCATGTGAACGGTTATAGGCAGTCATGGAGCCAGGTTTAAAGGATTGCAGAGAATAGAGTGAAATAGTGATGTGTTATTGAATCCTTATGTTCCATTAGGAACCCAAATGACAAATAGTAATCAATATTTCAGCATAGTAACTGAGTAAACTAGTAAGTGATGTAAGAAATATATTATAGATGTATATAATAAAATTATAAAAAACTTCATGTACACAAATAAAAGTAATTAAAATATATATATATATATATTCAATCAGTTTAATTGTTATTTTACAATATAATGAACATAGTATTATCAAATGGATAGATTAAAGAAACCAAGGCATCAATAAACAAAAAGAAAAGAGGATAATAATATTGATTTATTTGATTATACAAAAAAAGGTATTTCACAATGAAAGATTATTAAATAAATAAAATCATAAAACAGATCATCATGAATATCGAATGAAAAGAAGAGAAAAAAAAAAGGGTAGGAGGTGAAAACCTTAAACCATACAAAAATTGTACTCAGCATATCACAATGTTACATAGGGAAACAGTGGAACAATCAAACAGGTAGAGAACTACTTCGTACACACACACACACACACACACACACACACACACACAGGAACAAAAAACAAGACGGGGAAAAAAAGAGGAATATCAGTTAAAAAGGCAATAGGAAAGACTGGTATATATATATATATATATATATATATATATATATATAGGCAATGGGAAGAAATATTGAGCATGTAGAGAACAAATAGTATAATCACTATAATTATCTGAATAAGAAAGAAACTGGAAGACTGAATTATACAATTAAAATTAAACATCAAATTGGAAATGATTGAATAGCTTGTTCTATATATTCACTAATTTGATGATAAAAATATGCTTGATCATTTAAATAATCTTTAAGTTTATTCATCCATTCATCACGAATTTGTTTCATAATTAAATTACATTCAGCTTGTACAGAACGTGTTATAATAAGTGAACTATATTGAATTCGATTGATATCAGATTGTGACATTTTTTGTTCATCTAAATTACAACGATTTATTTCATCTACTGTTGAACAAGTTGATTTTGCTAAATTGATTATATTCGATGTATTAGGTAATAGACGAGTAAATTCTTTTAAGCATTCTTGAAGATTAATTGTTGCTTCTGACTATAAAAATAATAATATTAATGCAAAAAAAAAAAAAAAAAAGATTAGTGTTATTCCTTGTATTACACTATCATTGATTGAAATGAATTGATCAATTTCTGTTGGCATATAGGCTCTTATGCGGATGCCTTGATTATTGCCTGTCTTCTTAACTATATATAGTAATGATACGTATTTCATCCTATTTAGTACTCACTGGTGAGAGATGGTGTCCATGCAAAGGATTTGGACTCAGGAGAGACCGAGACTATTGTCACTGAATAACACTGTAGCGTTTGAAGCGGTCGGTCTCGAGTCCGAATCCCGGGGGGAACAATATCACTGAATGGGAGGCAGGTAAATCCAGCTGACGAGTCCTAAATAGGATGAAATGCGCATCCTAGATTCCAGTGCTAGCCACTATCCATCTTTACTATAATTAGAACACAGGTAATATCGAGGCATCCGTATTATTATTTGTCCCTTGGGTTCCTAGCACGTCTCCATTCCACTCTCCAGTCCTCTGCAATCTTTTTAACCTTGCTCCATGACTACCCACAAGCTCTCATTTCTTCCTCACACGATCTCCTCCATGTCATCCTCGGATACCCTCGCCCAACTCGTCGTCTCCCATCTCCGTACCACTCGAGTGCCTGGCGTACGATGTCCCCGAATAGTCTTCTCAGTGTATACCCGGTCCATCTCCTCTACCCTCTGCATACCTGTTGAGCGATAGGTTCTTGGTTGGTTCGTTGCCAAAGTTCCTTGCTGCTTATTCGTTCTAGCCATCTGAGCTTCAGTAACGAGCGTAGGCAGCTGCTGATTAATATCTGTATTTGGAAATACCTTACGTATCGCGTTAAGTCTGTGGACCACCACATAGAAGCACTGACTTGATATCGGTGTTGGAAAATCCGCATGTTATTCACGTTTTATGCTGAGTGCAGAAAATTTCAACACTGTTTTCAGTTTAATGAACACATGTCTGTCTTGTTGTCTTTCCGATCCTGGCTGGCTTTGACGTCCTCGTGTGCACTTGCCGCCTGTAGTTGAAACAATACTGCCTAGATAGGTGAAAGAGGCTACTTCTTTTAAGTTTCTCCCGTTGATGGTGATTAGAGCTTGTTTGAGTATCAAGGCATCCGTATAGCAGCCGTTATGTCAATAGAGACCGATCAATTGAGTCAAATCAACGACGGTATAATACAAGCAGCAATTATACAGTTAAATGATGTTGTACGTGGGTCAGATAGAAAAGTAGACGTAAGTTTGTTGATGGAGGTTCATTTATCCAGTATGAAAACTTATTGGTTCAGTTACGTGTACCTTGCTGTGCGTTCAGGAGCCAACTCTTGTCTAATATGATATTCTCTCGTAGTTTTATTGTTAGTTCATTTAACGATAGGTTGAAAACATTTTAAGAGTATAGGAGAGTATGTTTTACAGTTAGTCGATATTTGAATAGTTAAAAAAAAGGCAAAACGAAATGACCGATTTGATGAAATATATTCAATGAAATATTTTCTACAGCCCTAAATTCAAGCAGGCCACCGAACTATTTAAGGAAATGTAGACTTTCCTCAAGTTCATCCCTAGAAGTTGAATAGAAAGACTTTAAAACTAGGCTATTCAAAGAATTTTGATGCTTGTACAACTAAACACAATATATGAGTTGAAACCTATACGACATAATCAAAGTAGCTATTTACACATTAATCCCACACAAAGAATATGTTTCAGATAAAGGCATACCTAGGATATACGGAAATGAAGTATATAGAAGATTTGAAAAGGCCTACGATCGAGGCGTCGACCAAGAAGTAATTTCACAACTGCTTCAACACTACAGAGTGCCACAAACCTTTATCAACCTCATTCAACAGATATATGAAGACGCCATATGTCAAGTGGTTCACAACACAATGGAAAGCTCAGTAACGCCTTTAGAGTGAAGACAGGAGTAAGACAATGTCGCCACCTACTATCACCCATGATCTTCCTCATTGTGGTAAGCTGGATCATGCAACAGACAACTGTGAGGAGCGAGAAGATGGGAATACGCTGGCTGGACCGATGAAAAGACCCTAGAAAATTTGGATTTCGCCCATGTTGATGATTTATGTCTAATCTCGCATGAACTCCAAGATCTACGGGCGAAAACCAACAAGTTGACAGAAAAGGCATAGCAGAGAAAACAGGACTTCCTTTAGGTGAACGTAGAGAAGACAGAGGTGATGAAGACACCCAACCAACAATAACAACAAGCACCAATCGCCATCAACGGCAGAAACCTAAAGAAAGTTGCCTCTTTTACCTACCACCTGGGCAGCATTGTTTCTACTACAGGTGGTACAGGCACAGACGAGGATGTTAAAGCCAAGATCGGAAAAACAGGACGGGCTTTCCTTCATTAATCCAAGATCAGTGTGGAGGTCTACTGCACTCCATTCAGCATGGAGTGTGAACATGACCCGGATTTCCAACACTAATGTCAAGTTCACGTCAGTCCTTTTGTGTGATAGTCCAGAGACTTAGCGCGTCACGAAAAGCATTCCCAACAAACTGCAGACATACATCAACAGCTGTCTACGCTCGATACTGAAGATCAGATGGCTAGAAAGAATAAGCAAGAAGGAGTTCACTTTGGCAACGACCAACCAAGAACCCACTGCAGTGCAGTAGATCTCCACATTGATTTTAGAATAATCAAGGATTGTCTTGCTGTCTTTCCGATCCTCGCTGTGACATCCTCATGTGTGTGTGTGTGTGTGTGCCGCCTGTAGTTGAAACGATGCTGCCGAGGTGTTAGATGAAAGAGGTAACTACCTGCCTCTTCTGTCAACTTATTGGTTTTTGCCTGTAGATCTTCGAGTTTGTGCGAAAAAGACATTAGACATAAATCATCAACATGGGCGAAATCCAAATGTTCTAGGGTCTTTCCATCGGTTCAACCAGCGTATGCCCATCTTCTCGCTCTTCACAGTTGTCTCTTGCATGATCCAGTCATGTCTAGCCGACCACAATGAGGAAGATCATGGGCAGCGAGCTTGTCTTACTCCTGTCTTCACTTAAAAGGCATCACTGAGCTTTCCAATGTGAATCACTTGGTATGTAGTGTCATCATCTAGCTGGACTTCGTCAGTAACCGCCGAATTGATGCTGATGCAACTATCCAAGTTAGTGAAGTGGTCAACGCATTCACAATCCATACTTAAGCTGGGAATAGGGTCAAACCAGTCTTAAGACATCATCTAACAGTTGATAGGTGACAGCGAAATGCATGCCAAATATTCTCAGGTTTCTGGTGAACTTGTCTAGTAGACCCTGTATTTTATCATCATCTTCACCTAGTAGAACGATATCGTCTGCATACTCCAAGTCAAGTAAATGACTTTCAGTGAGTAGTTCAATGTCTGTGAAGTCAGAAGTACCTAAGGCTATGTCAATTAATACGTTTGTAACGAATTTAAATAGGAACGGTAACAGTCGACATTCCTGGCAAACATCACCAGTTGTCGTCAATTCTGAAGACAACTCTTCATAAGCCTTTACACTGCTGCACAAATTCGAGTAGAGGGATTCGATTAACGTTACACACTTGCTTAGTACCCCATCCACAGTCAAACACGACCACAACACCTCTCAGTTGACAGAATTGTGTATCGCCTTTATTTCAAAATGACGCAAGTCTAGGAAGCTGGTTAGCGTAACTTGTTGAGGGAGGAAGATTTGACTGATACATTCTTATTCCGGTCTGAGACCTGACTAGTTTTCACAAGTGCACTGTTCACGAACTCCAACTAGGCGTCGGGTAACTATGGAGCCCAGAATCTTGTACATGATGTCATTTAAACTGATCCTCTTATAGTTATAACAAGAAGATTTCAGTCCTTTCTCACAGACTGAATTGATCGGTGAAGTAGATCAGTCTGATGGAACTACTTCTGACTCCTACAGACTATCTAGGACCTGGGTTACTCTACTCAGTAATTTCCTACCTACATCCTTAAAAGCTCCGGGTGACAAACCGCTAGGTTTAGCCACCTGGTCTGAAAGGTTATTAAGATTCCATCCTTTTCGGTGACAGTTTCACTAATCGTCATCTTCTTGCCGGTATCCTTAATAAGTATACATAATAGCCAGGTATTAAATAATGCTCATGCGTTCTCTATCTCTCGCGCTTCCGCTATCCATCACTGCTCGCAATCATTATGAATACCCTATTCAATTTGTATTTGAGCTGCTTTCGCTCCCCATTATGATCAGTAGCAGCTATAATGAATCTTCTAACATCAATCAGTTGGATGAGGTTGTGGAAATCCACTGGCTTTTGCTGATATCTTTGGATATAGGTTGGCAACTGTTTTCACTGTTTCTACAGTAGACTGAATATCGCATGAGGCTCCATCAAGAAGAGAACTGTCATCACGTTCATATACTTGTCTTTTGCTTATAAACGCATTTCACTTTCTTATCTCCTAATCTAACACAGTCAAGCTTCACTCCCACCTGCTTTTTACGACCAGTAAGGTAGATATACATACATGTACCCGTACCAACGCGTGATCGTAGTCCAGACTGTTACTCCAGAAAGGGCGATAATCCTCTAACGATCCAACTATGGTTTATAGCAACATGATGATCTATCTGAGCCCATTGTCGGACTGATATCAGCGGACGCCAATAGAGACAGCGTCTCTCTATACGCTAAAGATTAGTGTTAACCAGAAACAAGTGACTTTCAAAACAAAATTGCAACAGACGATCACCACTGTCGATTCTTTGGCATAGGATTCTGTAGATACCTCCAAGATGCCTTTCAAATAAGCTTAGCTTCCCTACTTGAGCGCTGAAGTCATCTGACATTATGACTACATATGAATATTTTGTTTTCTGTAGGAAAATTGACAGTTTTTCATAGAATTCATTCTTTGTATCATGCGAACTGCAATAAGTGGGCGCGTAGGTGTAGATTATAAATACGCACCAGAAAATCTCATTATCTTCCCTAGTTCTTCTAGATACATTCAGTCGGATAACAGAGACGGCTATAGACTGGTATCCGGTGGAGAAGTCCGCTTTCTGTTCGAAAACTTGAAGCTATGCGTACACCATTATGTCTAGGAGAGGTTAGCCACTGAATCTCTGGATATTTGTAAGGTGGATTTCGCAGATTCAACACACTGGCCAGGTGAGGTCAAGTTATTAACTGTGCTTGGAAACAGTATACATCAATGGGTCAAGGTTCTAGAGTTCTAGAAAGCGATACGTGCTGTCCGACTTGGCATAGAGTCTAGACGTTGAAAGCTCGAATGTGAAGCCTACTTTAGAGTCATAAAAAACCAGGAATGAGGTCTTGATTGCATGGATCACTGACAGCAGTCAAAAAGTGAGATATTGAAGTTGTAAGAGACCTACTATTGGCATCATGAGGTGTAGTCAGAAGAGCAGATGGAACTAAGGGGGATATGTTGTGCTTGACTGAGTCTTGTAAACTACTGGGAACGTGAGGGTTGTTGACACTTTCCGGTTGCCAACACACTATAAAAAGTTCTTTCTTCCTGAGTTACCTGAAAGAAAAGGGTTAATCCGTGACCACAGAGTACAAGTACCGATCACATACAGCCTTTTTGCGAGTTTGAGAGTTCGCTTTCGAATCTACAAGGGTCTGCCTGACGGGGGTAGAGTGGTACTTTTGGGGCCAACCTTTTCTAACCACCCTTTCCCGTTGGGAAGGCAGCATCAACGTGACACTGCTAGTCATCCCAAGAAAACACTCTACTGCTGTTATACCCGTCCAATCAGCAGTACGACTCTGTTCTCATATCCCTCCATGGTAGCGTAGCAATTTACACTATAGTTCAAATGGCATGACCTCGACGGAACAAGTGTTTCACCAACATATTCTCGTTAGGTCACGTCAGCATAGCAACTATCGGTTGGGGTTAAATCAATAATATATGGTAGTCGGTAAAGACGAGATGAAGAAATAACAAATAGATAGCAAACAATACGAAAAGATCTACTAAATACTATCATGTCAATAAAGAGTCCATAAGTATCCCCTTTTTTTTTGAAAACGTGTGATTGTGTTGGTTTTTATATTGAAGTGGAGAGGAAAGTATTTTGTCCGAGAAGCTTTATTGGTTTACAGTTAATGCAATAAATCAATCATACGTCACGCGTATAATGAACGACTATTGTCTCTTGAAACAGAAATTTTACAACATGTTCCCATCATACTCCAATAACTATACTTTAGCAAGTGAATATAAATTAACACATAGTTGAATGTAACAAGATCCAAGAACTTGCTTGCAGATTGAAAAATTCAGTAGCTAAGCATATCAAAGTCATTGTAGCATATCAACTCTTGTATAGAGAAATTATGTCCTATGGTAGAAAGGTTTCAAAAAATACTGATTTCGCTTCTATACTCGGTGTACTTGGGAATACACTTCGGTCGGACTCCACTATCAAATAAACACCCTCAAATTAATCAGAGTTCATTACATAATATCACATTAGAGTATAATTCCTTTGTTTTTATTTACAATATAATAATCGGTAATTACCGCACCTAGACACCTTTTAGTCAGATGAAAAGATGTGAAAATATCCAAAATGTAAGAAAAAGATAAGCTAACCTCGTCTAATTAACTAGTTCACTAGTTACCAGCCGGTGCTAAGCCCAGGTAAAGAGGAAAGGTTGGGCATAGGGCTAGCAACCCTACCCGTAAAACCAATCCAATCGCTAAACAAACTTCAAAGTACAAACAAAATATAAAAAATGAAAACAAAATTATTCCTCGCTGGAATCAGAAGGGCGAAATGACGCCAGTTAGTGAAAGCCTTCACGAAGCCAATTAGCCAATGTATCCTCTTTCGATGAAAGCTGGTTTCAGGAAGTACAAACCATGTGAGGACCAAATTGCAACGCTTCGCATCATCATAGAACAAGTATAGAATGGCAGTCAACTGTACCTGTGCCTCAGCTTCATCTTCGATAACGTCAACTGAGAAGTAATTTGACAAGCAACTGCTTCAACACTACGGTCTTAGTGCCACAAACCTTTATCAACCTCATTCAACAGCAGCCGTATGAAGACGCCACATGCCCAGTAATTCACAATGGGAAGCTCACTGATGCCTTTGAAGTGAAGACGGGAGTAAAACAAAGCTGTCTTCTATCACCATGATATTCCTGATTGTAGTGGACCGGATCATGCAACAAGCAGTGAGGAGCGAGAAGAAAGGTATACGTTGGACCGGAGAAAAGATCTTAAAAGATTTAGATTTCGCCGATGACTGGAGTCTAATGTCACACAAACTTGAAGATCTACAGGTAAAATCTAATAAGTGGACAGAAGAGGCAGGGCAGCGAATACGGAGCTTCAAGTGAACGTAGAGAAGACAGAGGTGATGAAGATACTCAACAAACAACAACAACAAGCTCCAATCACCATAAATGGGAGAAACGTAAAGCAAATGGCTTCTTTCACCTACCACCTAGGCAGCACTGTTTCAACTACAGGCGGCACAGGCACAGACGAGGACATCAATGCCAGCCAGCCAGCCAGGATCGGAAAAGCAAGGCAGGCATTCATTAACCTGAAAACAGTGTGGAGATCCACTTCACTGCACTCAGCATAAAGCATCAACAGCATCCGGATTTTGAACACCAACCCAGTCAAGTCAGTGCTTCCATGTGATGCTTCACAGACTTGGCGTGTTACGAAAGGCATTTCCAACAAACTACACAGATCCATCAACAACTACCTACCCTGGCTCCATACTCAAGCTCAGATAGCCAGAATAATAAGAATAAGCAACAAGGAACTCACTCTGGCTGACTGGCAACGAAGCAAGAACCTATCGCTGAACAAATATGCAGTGGAAGGAAGTGGAGATGGATTGAATTGGGCATACACTGAGAAGGCCGACTGGTGACATAACGCACCAGGCTGGACCGTCGAGTGGAACCCAGATGAGAAGCGACGAGTTGGGCGATGGTGTGTAAGGGTGACATGTAGGAGATCGTGTGAGGGAGAAATGAGAGCTTGTGTGCTGTCGTGGAGCCAGGTTCAAAAGTTAGCAGAGAAGAGAGTGGAGTGGAAACGTGCTACTGAAGCCGTATGTTCCATCAGGAACCCAAGGGACAAATAATAAATAGGTAATAATAATAATAATAACATGGTTAGTTACCTGCAGTGCATGTATACATGCAATTGTTTTGAAAGTATCACTAGTAGTAGATAATGTATGAGATAATTTTGTATTCAAGTGTTCTGAAACAAAAGGAAATGATAATTTAACCGAATTTAAGACGAATAGTTGACTAAAATATCTCATATCATATGAAGTAAAATATAAGGCCAGAATATATGACAACTTTTGATGATTTTACCTTCTTTGAAGTGGACGGTTGAATAGTAAAGTGTTCATTTTCATCCTGTAGACAAAATATAATTAGCACAACAATGGTGCCATGTTTTAGTCTGGCTACCTCAAGCATTTTTCTAGCCTGGACCTACTTCAGCCAACATTGTGTGATGAGGCAGACGGCGACTAAACTTATATAACACGTGTCCCATCCATGTCAGTCTATGAAGGTTCATAACCTCGTCAACTGATTTACCTCTTCTCTCTAAAACCCTACACCTGACTTCTGCGTTACACACTGACGTAGTGACACCATGGAATACGGCCTATACTACGAAGATAACGGTGGTGAATCACTTGAAACCTTCTCATATCTTCCACCTTCAATGGCCATGTTTCACAGCCATACAAGAGAACAGACTGGACTGTTGTGCAGGTGCAATACACGTGACCCTTAATAGACAATCGGATATCACAGCGGTGCCATAGGTGATATAAAATTGGCAAAGGCCAATCGAGCCATTTGTATCCGTGCAGAGATTTCATTATGCAAAAACACACGTCGAGTCTCAAGTGGTAACAACACCAGTCATTGTAGTTCAGGTAGGTCCAGCTAACGAATCGTTCTGCTAGCTACAATCAAGTAGATTAGCCAATATGCCAATAGAGGTTCAAGAAATTCGATCCAGTATAACAACAGATAATTACAAGTATGTCAACAAACAAATTAATAGAAATGATGTAATATTGTAATTCTCATAGTAAGAATAATAGCATAACTAGGTGAAATTAGAGTATACTCACTTGTATGAACATCTGAATCAACAGCTTTGCTCATATTAAGAAAAGCCAGAGACAGTGCTGAGAATTCTTTACGAATATCTATAAAAACAAATATGAGAAAAACAAACAAAAATACATTGCTTACTAAGGGAAAAAGTTGACATTAGACATAGTTTGTATTAATGTAAATCACAAAGTGTTTGATATCTAAACATTTTTTCTCATGAAAGTCTTGTTTGAGCTTCTTCATGAAAATAATCAACATAAAAATATCTAGGATGTATGCAAATGAATCTATAGACGTGTATTTAGTTTACATATCCAATGAGCTTCGTTTAGCCATTGTCTTTTTAAAAAATGATAGCGTATCATTCATTGTGAACTTGTACGTCCTATGTTGTATGGTTAGTGTATATATATATATATATATATATATATATATATATTATTATATATATATATATATATATATTACCATTCATATTCTCCATGATTACAAGCATTAGATTAAAAAAAGGTCACATTCCATCTAGAGGTTTGTGGAGGTTTATGAATTGATTTTACCTTGGAATTCATCATGGACTGAAATTAATTGGAGGAATATTAAAAACCTGAGAGCACTACGTAGCTGTCATACTATGGGAATCCTCAGCAGTGCTTAACGTATGACACTGCCAGGGATCGAATCCAGAGCCTTCAGGTTCTCTGGCTAGCAACGTCACAGGTTACATTATAGTCATTCGGTAGTCTGCCAAACTTCGGTTATCTCAGATATTTTAGATAATAATAATGTTGAGAGATAACAAAGTTGAAACTGATGTTGAAGGTAAACGATGAAGTCACTCTTTCTGCTTACTAATCGGTACTTATCACTTTGACTTCAAGTGAATGTAGAGAAGACGGAGGTGATGAAGATATCCAACTAACAACAAGCATCAATCACTATTAACGGGAGAAATCAAGGGAATTAGTCTCTTTCATCTACCTCGGCAGCATCGTTTCAACTACAGGCGGTACAGACGAGGATGTAAAAACTAGGATCGCAAAAGCAAGACAGGTGTTAATTAACCTGAAAACAGTGTGGAGATCTACTGCACTTAGCATAAAGAGTCGACAAGATTTGGATTTTCAACGCCAATCCAGTCAAGTCAGTGCTTCTATATGGCTCAGAGACATGGCGCGTCACGAAAAACACTTCCAACAAACTATAGACATGCATCAACAGCTGCCTATGTTGGCTCGATACTGAAGATCAGATGGACAGAATAGTAAGAATAAGCAACAAAGAACTCTGGCTGACTGGCAACGAATCAACGAAGCAAGAACCTATCACCTTAACAAATATGGAGAAAGAAGTGGAGATGGATTGGGCATACACTGAGAAGGCCGACTGGGGACATCACGCGCTAGACCAGGTCAGGCCGTTGAGTGGAATCCAAAGAGGAAACGACGAGTTGGGCGATGGTGTATGAGGGTAACATGGAGATCATGTCAGGAAGAAATGAAAGCTTGTGTGCTGTCGTGGAGCCACGTTCAAAATACTGCAGAGGACAGAGTGGAATGGAGGTGTGCTACTGAAGCCCTGTGTTCCACTAGGGACCCAAAGGAAAAATAATAATAATAATTTCGACTATCTGAGATAGCCGTGGTTTGGCAGACTAGTATTGATACTGGGTGATGATTGAAGGTGGAATGAAAATTTGAACTGCTACAGGATTCGAGCCAGTGACCACCCAGTGTCAATACAAGTTTGCCAAACCACAGCTGTTATCTCGGATTAGGATGAGAAATGATGACTGGGCAGCCAGTGTGAGTACGATCAGGAGGTAGTAATGCGTTACGAATTCATTTAGTAGTCAGGCAAAATCCTTGATGACTGAAATGAAATAAAAATCTGGTCAACAGTCGGGGCTCGTAGATCAGTTGGTAGAGTACCAGGCTGGAAACCTGGTGGCCAATGGTTTAAATCCCGCCATGGTCCGTATTCTCACTTCACCTTTAATCATCACCCAATATTAATTAATAGTTGTCAAGAGGCAGCTAAATGTATTTCATCTCTCTGTTCAAACTATCTAGATTCGCCTATACATGTACGGCTTCAGTTGTTAATTTTTCTTGGTATAACCCAAAAACCTTTCTGTAGAAACTTGGTTCTGTCAAAGTCAAATTTGTGGCCTATTTCTAAGCAGTTTAACGCAATTGCCGACTTGTTTTCTAGCTTGTTAACACTTCTGATGACTAACAATAGTTTATCCTCTTACAGTCTTCATTTACCTGCCTGGCTGTCTCCTCTACAACATATACTGCAGTACAAGTAAAAATAAGTTATTTCCACGATTGCAATCATCTTCATCAAGAAGAAGAAAATAATTTAAGCGGTAATTTGCAAGCATATATTTGGTTCGAAAAAAGCTTTTCCTCAGTTGGACAACCATCTCATCATACTATGAAATTTCGAAGCAGTGTGTACGCAATACCCTGCAAGGGATTAGTGTTATAACCATTAAATTCACGATGGCCACCTTACCATTCAGACACCAATGGTCAACTGGTTCCTAATTCTCTTAATCCGTGAAGTAGTATCAACAATATCAACCAATCTCATGGCGAAACATCTGAGTCATAAACAACTTGATGCTAACACGTTTTCAATCTGTTAGAAAAAAAAACTTACTTGATAACAAATAAATCCCTACAAAGTATAAAGTAAATTATTTTCCAATTCCTAATTAATAACTTGCTAAGAGATGGATAATTATGTCAAAATTCGAATGAGAACTCATCACCTGCTTGATCAAACAAGTCGAAAGTAAGATGGATATCAATCGATAATACTGGATAATAATGATGCTGTTATGAATTAACATAGTCAAGAAATGGTTTGGAAACTTAATGGCTAAATTGTAATATTATCCTCAGGAAACTTGACAGTCATGATCATAGATGCATACTTATTATTATAGTTATTATTATTATTAGTCCCTTGGGTTCCTAGTGGAACATAGGGCTTCAGTAGCACGTCTCCATTTGACTCCTGTTCTCTGAGATCTTTTGAAACTGGTTCCACGACAGCCCACAAGCTCTCATTTCCTCCTCGCACGACCTCCTCCATGTCACCCTCACCTCGGACGTCCAACTCGTCGCTTCCCATGGGGATTCCACTCGAGCAACTGGCCTGACGCGTGATGTCCTCACTCGGCCTTCTCAGTGCATGCCCAGTTCAATCCATCTCCACTTCCTCTTGCATATTTGTTGCGTGATAGGTTCTTGGTTGGTTCGTTCCCAGAGCTCCTTGTTGCTCATTCTTCTGGCCATCTCCATGATCTTCAGTAGCGAGCCAGCGTAAGCAGTTGTTGATGAATGTCTGTAGTTTATTGGAAATACCTTTCGTGACGCGCCAAGTCTCTGAACCATACAGAAGCACTGACTTGACTGATGTTGGTGTTGAAAATCCGGATCTGTTCCACATGCTGAGTGCAGAAGATCTCCACACTGGTTTCAGGTTAATGAAAGCCTGTCTTGATTTTCCGATTCTGACTTTGACGTCCTCGTCCGTCCCGCCTGTAGTTGAAACAGTGCTTCCTAGATAGATGAAGGAGGTTACTTCCTTTAAGTTTCTCCCGTTGACGGTGATTGGAGTTTGCTGTTGTGTGGTGGTGGTGCGGTATCTTCATCATCCCCACGTTTACTTTCGCTCCCATCGAGAGAAGACACATCGGCCAATTGGCTTCCCGAAGGCTTTCACCAACTGGCGTCATTTCGCCTTTCCGACTCCAGAGAGGAATAATTTTGTTTTCATTTTTTATATTTTGTTTGTGCTTTGAAGTTTCTTTAGCGGTTAGATTTGTTTTACGGGGTAGGGTTGCTAGTCCTATGCCCAACCTTCCTCTTTACCTGGGCTTAGGACCGGCTAGTAACTAGTCAACTAGTTAACCAGGCGAGATGCATACTACTAATCATAAAACAGCTATCTCTAATGCTCTCAGGCCATTAATGACTCCTCAACTAATCTCAATCTATGATAAACAAAAGAAAAAAAAACTAGTGATAATTTTGTTTAGAGAGACAATGTAAAACTTGATGATTCAGGCATAAAGTTCAGAGAATGCAACACAACTACAACATATTATGTATCTTTATGAAGAGGATTAGAAGTTCCAGTCCATATGACAAATTGTTTCTGGATAGAAGATAGACAAATATACAAATAGAGTACGAAATTGAAAAAAATTCTTAGCGGTAAAATGAAATGATAATAAAACAGTACGCTTAATCGTTTTAAACAAGTAGGCTTTTCAAAAACGTTATTATTATTATTATTATTTGTCCTTTGGATTCCTAGTGGAACATATGGATTCAGTAGTACATCGCCATTTCACTCTCTTCTTAGCAGTCTTTTCAACCTGGGTCCACCACTGAGCACAAACTTTCATTTCTCCCTCACAACATCTCCTCCATGTCGACCTCAGACGCTCAACTCATCATTTCCCATTTGGGGTCCACTCGACGACATGGCTTGACTTGGCGTGTGATGTCGCCTATCCCCAATCCATCTCCACTCTCTTCTTCTGTATATTTTGTTGGATGATGGGTACTTCGTTGGAATGTTGACAGGCCAGAGCTCCTTGTTACCTATTCTTATTATTCTGGCCATCCATCTGATTGGTCTTCAATATCGAGTGAGCGTAGGCGGCAGCTGTTCATGTATGTCTGCCATTCGTAACGCGCCAAGTCTCTCAACCATCACATAGAAGCAATGACTTACTTGACTGACATTAGTGTTAAAAATCCGGATCTTGTTCATGTTTAATACTGAGTGAAGTGCAGTGCAGTAGATCATCACACCGACTTCAGGTTAATAAAAGCCTGTCTTGCTGTCTTTCCGATTGTGTCTTTGACATCCTCATGTGTGTGTGTGTGTATGCCGCCTGTAGTTGAAACGATGCTACCTAGGTAGGTGAAAGAGACTACTTCCATTCGATTTCTCCCGCTGCTGGTGATTGGTGCTTAGTGGTGGTGGTTGGGTATCATCATCACCCCTGTCTTTCTACGTTCACCTGAAAGAAGTCCCGTCTTCGCTGCTATGCCTCCTCTGTCAACTTGTTGGTTCTTGCTTTTGTTGATCTTCCAGTTTGTACGACATTAGACATAAATCATTATCGACGAAATTCAAATCTTCTTCTGGGTCTTTCCGTCGGTCAAACAGCGTATGTCCATCTTTTTGCTCCTCACAGTTGTCTGTTGTATGATCCAAAAACATTGGCTCTTCATCAATACAATCTTCACTACAGATATTTCTTAGTGGATAACAGAGAGAGAGGAATAAGATTTCTTTTTCTGTTGACAGGCAACCAACGATAAAAATTAGTTGTCCGTTTCACGTTGTTTTACTATAGATGGATCTTTTGAAGTATCGAGTAAGAAGCACATCAAGAGAAGGAACAGTTGGTTCTGATTCCTTCTGTATGGTATACCTAAGGGCTTGATAACATTCATTGGATGAACGAAGAACACCGTGTAAAACAACATCTTTGTCATAGATAACAATTGTGTCATCCATATATCTTCTATAGAAGTCAAAGCGACTAATAGTTTGACAAAGTTGAGAATTCTCTAGTTTCAACATGAAATGTATTTCGGATAGAAAAACTCATAATAATGTTTCAAGCATGATCCCTTTAGAAACAGCAATACATGATTATACAGTATAAGAAAATAAATGAATATTGATAGAAACAAGAGGGTGAAAAGGTGTACAAAGTAAAACACCACGTTACATCATATTGACGACCACGGTTATGAAAGTGGTCGAACAAACTTCTTTCGGATACAAAGGTTAGGTTTGTCAAGGTCAGTAGCAATCACCTCTGCTATGTGAAGTAACCAAGTGCGTAATCCACATGGTAAATTAATTGGAATCTGATGAGTAATTTTGAAGGCTCTCCCAGTAACCACTTGATGTCCCGTATCAACTAAGTGTGCAAGTATGGAGCTCTTCATAGTTCTAATTTGTCTCTTGTTCAACGATAATAGGTGGTACTCAGAAATTCAAGGATGCACCTGCCTCATTGTACACCCAATGTAACTCGCTTCACAGGAACAATTGGATTGATAGATGCACATGGGAGTAGCAGTATCAGGCAGTTTGTCTTTATTTCTTACACCTAGAATCGCGAGGTTGTAGAAGGTGGGACATAATTTAGCGGCTGGGAATGCTTTATGCAAGACTCTTTTTATGCGTTGTATGATGATCTCACTGGTAATATCACTCTTAAATTTCAGCTTCAAGCAGATTTGCTACTTAGGAACTGCTGATGTTTTTGTCTTAACCTACGTACTCATATGCTGAGTCAAAACCTGGCTGGAGAGCTATTCCTATTAAGCAAGTCACAGACAGTGGTGAACTCTTCCTCTAAAGTATCATCTGAGCAAATACCTGTGGATAGGTGTGCTAGGTATTTCACCAGCTTCCTTTTGTTTTGAAAGGGTATAGCACTAAGAAAGTGCGTGTATTGACCTGTCGATGTTGGTTTTCTATTTACACTTCGTTTCAGAGTTCCATCTAACCGTCTTACCAACAGAACATCAAGAAATAGGGTAGTGTCATTTTTCTTCTCTTCCATTGTGAAGCAGATTGCCAAATGAATAACCTCGCCCAAGTAATTAGTTCATCAGTTACTAGCAGGTCCTAAGCCTGGATAAAGATGGAAGGTTGGGCATAGGGCTACAGCAACCATACCCCGTAAAACCAATCTAACAGCTAAAGAAACTTCAAAGTACAAAGAAGATATAGAACATAAAATTAAACTTATTCCTCGCTGGAATTAGAGAGGTGAAATGACGCCAGTTGGTGAAAGCCTTCGCGGAGTCAATCGGCCGGTGTTGTGTCTTCTCTTCTCTCGATGAAAGCAAAAGTAAACATAAGAACGAGGAATGTCCAAACAATGTTTGAACCTAGCAAGGCTGCCCAGATTCCAAAAAAGATGAGGAGGTATAGCATAGAAGTGCTATGAGTCTGCGAAACCAGATGGAATGGAAGTGAACTCTCTCAACTGTCAACTGGAGAGTCAATGATCTACTCCGACACTGTCACCCACACGACAACCACAAGCACACTGAGTTTTCGAGTGGCTATCATGATGTCCCCAACAGCATCGAAGGCTCTCTCTCTCATGCAGTGGGAACCAATCTCCTCCAGGATCATGCCAACAAGCTTCAACTCAAAAAGAAGGAAAGTCACAATCATACAAGGCTACGCTACGCACCTACAAATAATGCAGACCAGAAGAAGAAGGAGGAGTTCTATAGACAACTGCAATCACTACTGGACAACATACCACCCCAGTTGGCGATATCAAAATTCTAATGGGTGGGGTGATATGAATGCCAAACTAGGAGCGGACAACACAGGAAGAGAACTAACCATGGGTCGAGAAGCGCTACGTGAAATGAACGAGAATTGTTTGGAGAATTCTGTGCATTCAACGATTTGGTGATTGGAGGCAGTGTGTTCAAGCACAAGGATATCATAAAAGCGACATGGATTTCACTAGACACCAGGACACACTACATTACAAATCAGATCGACTTCATTTTAATATGTAACATGTGGAGACGCAGCCTACTGGACACTAGGTCAACAAGGGAGAAGATGTAGGTTCACACTACTCACTGTCTAGTGCAAGGAACCTGACTTCAAAATCAAGTTGAAAAGCCTTCACAGAAGTTGGTGATAGACCACAGTTCAAGTTCAACACCCAGAACAGAAAGTGAACTGAAGGTGGAAACTACAAAGGACATCTTCACGTCAGTCAGTTATCAGGACAAAATGGGAGATATCGAGGAACATCCCTGAAGGATCGGGTGTGGAAGAACACTGGAACTCTTTGAAAGAGATGTGGAAAAAACCTGTATAACCGTTTTAGGAAGGAAGAAGAAAGAAGATAAATAATGGATCTCGACGTACACATGGAAGCTGATAGAGCAGAGAAGGATGGTGAAGCAGAAGACAAACCAGTGCAAGGATGAACAACGACAAGAGGAACTGAGTACAACGTATACAAAACTCGATAAAGAAGTGAAGAAGAGTGCACGGAAAGACACTTCCAGGACACACTGGCAAGTGAAACAGAACAGGCTGCAGGTAGGAGGGATAGAGACCTGATAACACTATATCAAATGACCAAAATACTATGTGGGAAGAGATAAACACACATGAAAACTATGAAAGATGGAGAAAGAAACCTAGTTACCACCAAAGAGCAGAAACAGAGAAAACAGTGGGCTGACCACTTCAAAAAACTCTTGAATCGGCCACTACCACCACCACCTGCAACTTGTCCACAAATACCACCAGCAACCCAGCCACAGAATTACCAGTGAACACAAGCCCCCCGACAAAAGCAGAAGTCCTGAGCTCCATAAAACTGCTGAAACCCGCGAAAGCAGCAGGATCAGATGGAATTTCACCAGAAGCGCTGAAAGCAGACGCAGAGACAACAGCGGACATGCTCACACCACTATTGCAGAAGGTTTGAAAGGAAGGGAAGGTACCTGCCTATTGATTGGAAGGAGGGCGACCTTCACAAACTCCCAAAGAAGGGCGATTTAAGTCTGTGCAAGAACTGGCGCGGAATCACTCTCCTGTCCACCCCAAGCAAAATATTAAACCATATCATCCTGGAGAGAATAAAAAATGCTCCGTATTGAAAATTATGACCGGAACAGGCTGGGTGGCTTCTGGAAGAACAAATCATGTGCAGATCAAGTTGCAACGATACTCTATGCATTATCATAGAACAGAGAGTAAAATAGCAGCCAACTCTCTATCTCAACTTCATCAATTTTGAAAAGCCCTTCGACAGCGTCGACCGAGAAGTAGTTTCGAAACTGCTTCAACACTACGGAGTACCACAAACCTTTATCAACCTCATTCAACAGCGATATGCTATATGAGTATGCTACATGCCAAGTGATTCACAACACAATGGAAAGCTCAGTGATGCCATTGAAGTGAAGATAGGAGTAAGACAATGTCGCCGCCTACTATCACCCATGATCTTCCTCATTGTGGTCGGCTACACATGGCTGGATCATGCAAGAGACAACTGTGAGGAGCGAGAAGATGGGCATACGCTGGCTGAACCGATGGAAAGACCCTGGAACATTTGGATTTCGCCCATGTTGATGATTTATGTTTAATGTCTTGTCGCACAAACTCGAAGATCTACAGGCAAAAACCAATAAGTTGATAGAAGAGGCAGGTAGTTACCTCTTTCACCTAACACCTCGGCAGCATCGTTTGAACTACAGGCGGCACACACACACACACATGAGGATGTCACAGCGAGGATCGGAAAGACAGCAAGACAAGCCTTGATTATTCTAAAATCAGCGTGGAGATCTACTGCACTGCACTCTACTCCACTCAGTATAAAGCGTGAACAAGATCCAAGAACAAGACCAAGAACCAATCGACCAACAAAGGTGCAGAAGAAAGTGAATATGGATTGAGAATACACTGAGAAGACCATACAGGGACATCACACGCTAGGCCATCGAGTAGAATCCAAGTGGGAAACAACAAGTTGGGCATCCGATGGTGATGATGTGGAGCCAGGTTAAAAAAAAGTGAAGAGCATAATAATTTCAATAATCCAATGATTATTAGAGAAACTTGAACACAAATAATAAAGATATTTTCTTACATTTATGTTATTCATAATATATATTTAAGCAAAATTGGTAGATAATAAACAATTGAATTCTTAACTTACTGGTACTTAATTTTCGATGATATTCACTAACTGTTTCACTTAACGCTTTAGTTGATCTTTCCAAATCAGATAGAAATCGTTCAGTTGCCTCCACTTTTTCCATGCTGAATTAAAATATATTTAATAAAAGGTGAATGAAACAAGAAAGGATAGATGAAGACAGAAAACAATCTGAGAGATACTAATTATCATTGAGAAAGACTAATTGAGCCAGAGAAGAAATGTATATTCCTTTTCAATTAGGTCTTCATCTTGAGCTCTACACTAATGTGCATAGTATTACAATTCAATCAAATTACCAATCATGTGGTGATGTTTCGGAAATAATCATATAAATAATCAATAGGGTTACCAAAATAGGAAACAAGGGGAAGGGGAAGAGGTGCACAAAAGAAACCTAGAAGTTACATCATGTTGACGGCTACGGTAATCAAAGTGGTCGAACAAACTTCTTTCGGATACAAAGGTTAGGTTTGTCAAGGTCAGTAGCAATCACCTCTGCTATGTGAAGTAACCAAGTGCGTAATCCACATGGTAAATTAATTGGAATCTGATGAGTAATTTTGAAGGCTTTTCCAGTAACCACTTGATGTCCCGTATCAACTAAGTGTGCAAGTATCCAGCTCTTCATAGTTCTAATTTGTCCCTTGTTCAACAATAATAGGTTGTGCTCAGAAATTCGAGGATGCACCTGCCTCATTGTACACCCAATGTAACTCGCTCCACAGGAGCAATTGGATTGATAGATTCACATGGGAGTGACAGTATCAGGCAGTTTGTCTTCATTTCTTGCACCTAGAATCGCGAGGTTGTAGAAGGTGGGACATAATTTAGCGGCTGGGAATGCTTTATGCAAGACTCTTTTTATGCATTGTGTGATGATCTCACCGGTAATATCACTCTTAAATTGCAGCTTCAAGCAGATTTGCTTCTTAGGAACTGTTGGTCGTCAACATGATGTAACTTCTAGGTTTCTTTTGTGCACCCCTTCCCCTTCTTGTTTCTATCAATATTCATATTTCCTATTTTAGTAACCCTATTGATTATTTATATGATTCCTTCCGAAACATCACCATATGATTGTAATTTGATTGAATTGTAATACTATGCACATTAGTGTAGAGCCCAAATGAAGACCTAATTGAAAAGGAATATACATTTCTTCGCTGGTTCAATCAGTCTTTTTCTAAATGTCTAAATGGAATATTCAATGAATTATCATTGAGTCAATTTAAAATAGTTTAACGAAAGAAGCTTGTCTGACCATAGTGAAAATCCACATCATGGATTTATTTATGTTAAAGCAGATAGATAAATGAGGAAATTTGCATAGAAGTATGTTAATTAAGTTATCATACTTTGAAGCATAATGGTAAACATTAATAGAATGATAATCTCGAAACAAACCAATTGGATGAGAAGAGGATTTTATAAATCAAAAATATAATTACATCATAAGGGAACTCTACTTAGAGCGAGCAATTTTTAACAATTGTAATGATTTTACTTACTTCTTTTGAACTCACAGCTGGAAGTTACGATTGAGATGGTTGAGACACGTACTACATATGCTTAGTCACCGATTGCCTCATCACACAATGTTGGCTGAAGTAGGTTCAGGCTGGAAAAAGGCCCGAGGTGGCCAGACTAAAACATGGCACTAATGTATGAAGTCTCTGACTGTTGGTTTGAGTCATGTGAGTGGGGAGATGCAGACTAGGTGGTTGGGGTCGGCGGGACAAAAGAAACCAGTGGCTGGAGACTCTAGGTGATATGGCTGAGAACCGATGTCAGTGTCGCAGATGTATCCCCACACACATTATCCTCATCTTAACAACGCTATACCGAATCTCACCGTTTTCTCATTCTTTCTTTCTTTCTTCTCTCGTACTTCATATTTCTTTTGACTGCATTCTCTAATCTTCATGCCTCACCTGACTACCTTTCTTCTTGATGTACTGATATGAGGTGTGGCAACTCGGACCGTTATGCAGGAATGCCTCGTCCTAGGTTGATATTGATGATGATGAGTTACGAACTGCTAATGCTTCAGCTATGCCTAGATTTCTGTCTTTTGAGCGACTTAGTCGCAATCTATATAAAATTTTGAGGGACTTATCAAAAGAAGTCAAGTCAGAATTGAAGGGGCATTTCTGTGCATCTTTTATCACCTAGTCCATGTTATGTCTAATGTACTGATAAACACAGGCTGACTGATGTGAACGATGCTTCAGCAATATCTTTCACTTTCTGAGGATTTCTGCATCATCCTGGAGAGATTAAAAGATGCTCTGGATTCAAAAACACGACCGGAACAGGCTGGCTGGCTGGCTTCTGGAAGAACAAATCATGTGCGGATCAAATCGCAACACCACACATCATCATAGAACAGAGCATAGAATGGCTGTCAACTCTTCACTCAACTTCATCGATTTTAGAAAGGCCTTCAACAGCATCGACCGAGAAGTAATTTGTCAGTTGCTTGGACACTACGGAATACCACAAATCTTTACCGACTTCATTCAACAACAATATGAAGACGCCACATGACGAGTGATTCACAATGGAAAGCTTAGTGATGTCTGTGAAGTGAAGACAAGAGTAGGAAAAGGTTGCCGCCTACTAACACCCATGAACTTCCTTACTGTGCTCGACTGGATCATGCAGCAAACAGTGAGGAGCGAGAAGATGGGCATACGCTGTTTGGCCGATGTAAAGACCACAGAAGATTTGGATTTCGCCCATGATGATTTATGTCTAATCTCGCACAAACTCGAAGATCTACAGGCAAAAACTAACAGGTTGACAGAAAAGGTGGGGCAGCAAAGGAAGACGGGACTTCAAGTGAATGTAGAGAAGACGGACGTGGTGAAGATGCCAAACCAACAAGCAGCAATCACCATCAATGGGAAAAACCTAAAGGAAGTTGTCTCTTTCACCTATCTAGGCAAGGCAGCATCGTTTCAACTACAGGCGGCATAGACGGGGATGTCAAAACCAATATCGGAAAGACAGCAAGATAGGCCTTCATCGATCTGAAACCAATGTGGAGATCTACTGCACTGCACTCAGCATTAAGCGTGAACAGGATTCGGATTCTCAACACTGATGCCAGTCAAGTCAGTGCTTCTATGTGATGGTTCAGAAACTTGGCGCGTCACGAAAAGAACTTCCTACAAACTACGGACATTCATCAACAACTGCCTACACTGGCTCGATACGAAGATCAGATGGCCAGACAGAATAAGCAACGAGAAACTCTGGCTGTCAATGAACCAACCAACCAACCAACAACCTATCGTCCAACAAATATTGAGAACAAAGTGGAGATGGATTGGACATACACTTGAGAAAACCATTTGGTGACATCAAACGCCAGGCCAGGTCGTCAAGTGGAATCCAAAGGGGACACGATGAGTTAGGCGTCAGAGGCGAGGGTAACATGAATGAGATAGAGTGAAGAAGAAATGAAAGCTTGTGGGCAGTCGTAGAGCCAGACTGAAAAGACTGCAGAGAACAGAGTGGAAAGGAGACGTGCTACTGAAGCCCTATGTTTAACTAGGAACCCAAGGGGAAAATAGTAATAATAGTAATAGTCTACTTTTCATTAGATTTTCTCGGAGGTTCTCCAGTTCCTTATCAATAATATACTCTGTGCAAATTATTTATACTCAGGAGATAAGTGCATTCATTAGATTGCTCTTTCTGTTCAATGGAATACAACTTTGAATATTAATAAACTGCTTATTAGAAGTTGCTATTCTGTAAATAGATTTCTGGATTGAATTGTCATATTTTTCTTTTGAAGTGAAGTTAATGGAAGAATGAGTATTATCGAATGTTTGAAGCAGGTTTTCAAGATTAGTATTCTCATCAAAAATAATCAAGATATCATCTACTTATCCTTTGTAGATATGAAAGATCACTGATTACGAAACATGCCCATTAAGTCATAGAGAATAGACAATTCATCGAAGAAAACTATCTTTTTCGACGATATTCTTCTTCTAAAGCTGTACAATCGTATTCATGTATGTATCATGAACATATAATAGTAGTCTATTATAAAACAATAGGGTATAATTATATCATTAACCTAGAGCTAAAAGACAACCAGATTCAAGAATGCAAAGCAATTGCGTAATAAAGGAAGATAGTAGGAATATCGAGGAAGGCAAGGAGTCTGACAAGGTGAAAATTGTTGGTAGATAAGAAACGCAAATATTGAGTGTCCACTTGATAGATAGATAGATAGATGAATGGATGTAAAGAAGGTGAAGGGTCATAATGAAGGTGATAATAACAGTAAACTAATTAATGATAATGAAATCGAAAAAATGAAAGTTTTAAGACCATGGTAAGATGAGAGATTGAACATACTTGTTTTGAACGCAGAGATGAGGCTTGAATTGATGAATTGCCAGTGCCTCCACTTTACACAACTGTCGAAGGTGTACTCCTTTTCAAGTATCCCATCTGACACGATAAATGACACTGAAGGAGGATTTTGGTCTAGCTTTATGTCGAGAGTTGACCAAATGTTCAACAATTGAACTGTTAATTGATTTACATATAACTATAAACTAGCTCCACAGGAGCAAGTAAATTTGGAGACACACATAGAGGTGGCCTAAAGTGGCAACTTGCCCTTATATAGGCCGCACAAAGCATATGCTTTCCAAACGTATCTCGGAGCACAATCCTTCATGGTTGTTGAGGGGAGAATGTAGATCAATTAACAGTTCAGTTCTTGAACATTTTGTCATCTCTGAACATAAAGCTAGACCGGAATCCTCCTTCAGTGTCATTTATCGTGTCAGATGGAATAGTTGAAAAGGAGTACTCCTTCGACAGTTGTGCACAACAGAGGCACTGGCAATTTTTTCTCCATTTCACTATAATTAATTAGTTTACTGTTATTATCATCTTCATTCATTATGACCCTTATCTCATTCTTCACCTTATTTACATCCATCCATCTATCTATCTATCAAGTGGACAATCAATATTTGCGTTTCTTATCTACCAACAATTTTCACCTTGTCAAACTCCTTGCCTTCCTCGATATTCCTACTCTCTTAGTTTATTACGCAATTGCTTCGCA